CAGCTCCTGTGCGTGTTTTCAGTTGCATTTCACCTCGGGGGGAAGAGGATTAAATGTACGTTGTCGATAGATCTTCGAGATGAGAAGATGGGACAGAAGAGGAAAGGGGGTGGACAATGAGAAAGCAAGCGGAAGATGGGCAGAGCAGTGCACCAAAGTGAAAGCAGACGTAGGAAAAGAACACACCTCTCCAATCCTTCGCCTCAAATCCACCCACTCCCTTTCATCCCTACACACGAAGCCCAACAGCACCATCTTCCTCCTCCACGGGCGACAGCGCATGTGGGTGTGCCGGCGGGCCCTCGGAGTGGCGGCGGAAGCCGCTGGAGGTGGCGGTGCAGCCGTGTATGGCCGGTGTTTTGGTAGTTAGAGGGCTTGTTTGTAGGCAGGTGATCATCCTATCTTGTCAGCGTCCCCAGAGGATCTCTTCAGCTGTGATCGCCGCTCACCGCCACACGGAAGTCCCTCGGCAGACCCCAACGGTCGGAGCAGTATGGCGGGCCGCGAGTGTTGAAGGTCCCTGGGCGCATGAGATGAGCTGGGCGCCATGAGGTCAGGATGCGGCACAAGTGGTGGTGGGATGAGAGTGAAAAGTTGTTGCTCTGTGTTTTCTACAGCAGTATACACGTTGCGGTGATTCTTGATTTTCGTCCTGTCAGAGTGAGGGGTTACCATGAGCTTGACCGTGAAATATGCATTGCAGAAGCTGGGCCAAGAATTACAAGGAAATATATTACTCCTAGTCGCCGTACTGTGTGTCAATTAAGTCCTGAAGGAAAGTACTGAATCCCGTCGCGTCGTCTTCCGGCACCAAACCACTCTCAGCCATGAGCAACTCTAACATTCTGAGCTCTGCCTCCCTCGACGTCCCCTCCATGAAGTTGAGTCCACGCCCCCATTGATGGAGAATTTGAGCACTTGGAGCGCTTCCATCATTTCCGGTCCCAGATTGCGCCTGTTGGTGTCAGTCTCGGCGCTGGACGAGAAAACACGCTCGCAAGGCACAGCAGACCCCTGTATTGGCAGGATGTCCAGTGCGAACGCGAAGATGGATGGATATCTAAGTTGATTTTCCTGCACGGCATAAGTCAGCATCTCAAAGCGGCCCGAGGAGAAAAAAACAAAATACCTCCCAGTACTGCACAGATCCGAGGTTATAGGCACCTTCCATAAGGTATGCCCGCACCTCGTCCTCCAGGCTCTGACCTCCGGATGGATGCCCCCCCGGCGTATCTAAACCCAGAATTTGGTCCGCCCAATCGTTATGCGCAGGTCGCGCCGGTGTGTTGATGAGGTCGCTGCGGTAGCCCCGAAGCTGAAAATTTGTCAGTCCAGACCAAAGAGAATATGAACAACCGCAGGACTAACTTCGGCAATGAACAACTCCCTAGCCCACTGGGTCCGCTCCAGGTGATTAGCTTCGAACCAGCTAAGCTTGGTAGCTGGGTTTATGACTGCATACTCAATGAGTAGCTATTAAACATGCAAAGGAAATCAGGACTCACTCATTGCAAAGATGTATGCAGGTACACCTTCCACTCGGTCTCGATAAGCGCCAAGTTTGTCAATCCCCTTCTGGATGATATGCGCGGTCTCGGGGAACTTGACTTGCTGCTTTTCCCAGGCCTTGATCATGGCCTCAAACGCAGGAAGCGCGTCTCCGAGGTTGGGTGTCTTCTCTGCGGAGAGTTTTTGTTGAAAGGCGTGTGGTACCTATTACCATGTTAAGAAATAGTATGATGGGATCGTCGTGTACTTACGGATAAGATTCTTTTAAACCATTCGAGCGCTTTCCATTCCTCGGGCCCGAGTTTGTATTTGTGCAGTTCTTTGAACTGAGGATGTGAGAGAAACCTGTCGATGGCCTGCAGAAACTTGACACTGAATATAAGTAGGAATGATGTGGGAACTTGCACGCACCTCGCGAAGAAGGAGGGCACGATCAATCATAAGAAGTGTCGATGACCACTGGGTATCAACGTCTCGGAGGAGCTGAAGGTCTTTCTGTTGCAGAGCCTTGAGTACCTCCGAAAAATATTGACGCCGCAGAGACGACACTCTGATCTGTCAATCATATGAGCTATACACAAGAGTGTTAATAGACAGAGGGCCATACTACTCGGACTGTTGTTCGGACGGTTGCAACGGGATCCCGATCTATAGCATCGAGGAAGTTGGTTGCCGCGGCGACGGGAGGAACAAAGTCGCCAGCCTCGGGTGCAGCAAAATCCATGTTGGTGATTGCTCCGAGGACGGCCTTGCATGCTAGATTCACTATGTGCGGAAAACATCTGGATTCCCGTCAGATTAGATCCGAATCAATGAAAATCAAACTCACCGAATTCGCCGTTTGAATTTGCAGAATGGTATCCCACGGCGAATGAGCTCACACTCCAGGCATACCATGAAGGTGTTGTTGTTTGATGCATTATCAAGAGTGACCCAACCAAGCTAGAAGATACTAAGTAATACCGCCAAACTGTAATGACATGGCCTGACGTACCTTGTGAGCAATCCTAATACGATCAATGATATATAGGAAGGCGGTGGCCAGGTGCTCGCCATCGTGATGCCCGGGTACGCGTAGAAAGCCGATCAAGTCAGTGCGAAGAATGAGCTTGTACTGTGGCCCGAACGGTGTGGCGATGAGTTGTGCTTGGAGCCAATGCCCAGTCACAGCCATGTATGGTTTTTTTTTGCATATCAGTCCACATGTCCATCGTGGCCGAGATCTTGCAGATTGCCCCCTAGAATCTCATGTCAGACAAGAGGAAGCACCAGAGAATCCAGACGCACCCCCAACTCGCGCTCAAGAGTATTGAGGTGTTTGTCCCACACCTCAATAATGCGGTTCCAGATTGTCGTTCGATGGGGAATGTCTTGATCTCTCAGTTCGGACTGCAACATGAGAAAAATAGCACGTAGTTGCTTATTCTCGACGACGTTGATTGACTGCATGTATGAAATTTAGATTGCGTCAAATGAAATGAATACAACGGACCTGATCGTCGCCCACAATGAACTCAACAATTGCTTCGACAAAGGCCTCTTGCGAAAATTGTGTTCGCGGCTCCGGTGGCTCTGGATCAGACGCGCTGGCTGTTGTGTGTTGCTTGCGTGCCCGGTAGTCATCGACATATTTCTTTGCTTCCTTCGCCTTGATTGTTATTTTTAATTGATTGCATCCCGCCACCCACAAGTCCAGGTGATTTTCATATAGATGCTTCCGCAAAACACCGGTACTGGTACTTTTGCTGATTTTTTTTACTTGATGGCGGGGGTTTGCAGCGTGTGTTTGCCTGTCAATGATGAGTGAGGTGAAAGAGAATGCCGAGGTGTGAGACATACCTGCAGATTAAGCACTCTCTAACCTCTTCCCCCTCGAAGAAAGTCCACACGTCTCTGGCTGAGCCTGATCGGCTACCTGCTTGCTGAGGTCGGGGTGGGGGTGCATGATGGGGGCCAGCCCGCGGTGATCTGCGATGCCGACTGTGCGATGGAGTAGGTGACTGGTGATAGCCGGGTGACTGAGACGGCGACGGAAAGAATTCGCCAGGTTCCTGGTTGTCGAAATGGACATTCGCGCGTCGCCGAGAACCAGACGCAGCCGGAGGCCCATCTTGTCGAGGACCAGGTGTAGCGGCAGGGCCATCGTCAAAGACATCCTGGGGGCGTGGTTGGGCAGCTGGATCACAGCAGAGGGGGTAAACAAAGTAAAAAAGAAAAGTAACAAGGACGCACCTTCGCCATTGTTTTCTGCAGGACCTGGCACAGCGCCATGCACGTCGGGGGCGGGGGCAGCATCCGGTTCGGCTGGTGCAGCAGGTTGGCGCTGCCGGCGTCTGGGCGGGGCGGGTTCAGGCAGAGGCGGTGTCTTGTCCGCCCGCGGCGGTGGTCTTCGGGCGCGCGCTTGGCGTTCTGGAGTTTGGGGGACAACTGTTCAAGCAGCTCAGATGGTGGTATGAAAAGCTAGGATCTGTATACCTTCTGGTTGTTGCTGTTCAGGCTCTACATTCGGGCGTCTACGAGGAGGCATGGAGGCGGTAAGAAAATGGTGGATAAGTTGGGTTGTGCAGAGGATAAAACGAACCCATGATATACACCGAGGAAGAAATGGAGCCCAAACCCCCATCGGTGCATTTCAAGGGTCGTCGGCGAGTAGAAAGGCAAAAAAACCTGAAAACTATCCATTCCGCGTATACATCATATTACATGGATTGCGGCGCAAGATTACCTTTCAGTATCAGTCTCGTCGTCGCCCGAGCACCCCAAGCGGCCCCAAGCGAGGCCCATCGACGCCACCGTCGCGGACATTCGCGCCTTGTTTCCTGTGTCGTCCCCATGCAGAGTGAAGAATAAGATGGTTGGCAATTTGTTGGTGCAAATAGCCTCAGTGGTCGTTGATAGAGGGGAGCAGTGGTTGAGGGGGAGCGCAACTAGAGCTCAGTGAATGGGTATCATGGCTTCAGGGTCTTAGAACGGCGAGGGAGTGGTTAAAGAGGGAGAATGGGAGATATAAGCCGATCGAAGCCGCGGCTAAGCCGTTAGTGGAGCCGGCTTGAGCCGGAGCCAAGCCAATGGAGCCGCCGTGTGAACGGCTGGCTAGGCTCGGCTTATTTTTGGCTTGGCTCCAACGGCTAGCCGAGCCGAGCCGAGCCGTGGCAGCACTACTTTCGGGTGGCACGGCGGACAAGTACGGTGTTGAGCGGTCGAGTACGGCCAGAAGTTCTACTGATTTACAGGATATTTAGGTCCAGGGAGATCCCAACTAGTAAAATGGCCTTCTATCCTCGAGGAGCTAGATTCCAAGCCCAGACTCGACCGCGGGACACATCTGGTTAAGCGCCTTGCCGTCAACCTTTGATCTTCAGCTGCGGTGTTCACTCCATAGCAGCATGCTACTCAGATCCCGAAGAGCCTCTAAGCCCTCGGGTCAGTTCACATGACCTGAACATATCTGACTACTTCAAAAAAAAACCCTGTTGGATTTCAAGGACGTATGGCTCGGGCCCGGATCGAACAGGCATCCCCTGCATGCATTCTGCTCAGCGTGCCATTTATGGTACGCAGGTGTGGACCATCCACCACCGAGCCTTCCACTCCTTCGTCGTAACCTGAGTTTCCCACTGGCCACAGCTTTCTCATTGCACATGTGTCGCAGATAAAAAATGCCGATGTTGCTATGGCTGAGGCCTGATTCGAACAGACTCCTCCTGCTAACTCAATTGGATCCGTCACATTGATTTATGGAAAGCAGGTGTGGACCATCCACCACCGAGCCTTCCGCTCCTTCGTCGTAACCTCAATCTACCACAGCTTTTTCATATTGTGCATGTGTCGCAAATAAAAAATGCCGACACTGTGATGGGCCCCCGCCTGATTCGAACAGACTCCTGCTTCAAAGGTTCACATGCGAGACACCACAGAAAGCAAGTATGGACCACTCACCACCGAGCCTTCCATCCCCATCCCTTAGCCTGAATTTATCTGGGCTTTCTTGAGTCAAGAGATAAAAACTTTTGAACGAGTCTGTCCATGGCTCGGGCCTGATTCGAACAGACTCCTTCTGCTGACTCAATCTCATGTCACTCGTCGCCTATGGAAAGCAGGTGTGGACCATCCACCACCGAGCCTTCCTGCCCCTGCTCTTAGCCTAAATTTACACAGCACCTGTTTCTCGATAAGAGGAAAAAAGGATACCTTCGATACCGCATGGCGGGGCTCAGGCCTGATTCGAACAGACTCCTCCTGCTGACTCAATTGTCTGGCTTTTTATGGAATGCTGGCAGGTGTGAACCGTTGTGGTAGGAGGTTTGGTGCAGGGGTGTTTGGTCGAGTTAGGCAGGGTCTTCAAGGCATAGCCACGCAGTAGCACGAGATCCAATCTTAGCATCTTTCTACGCACCATCCAAGGAGGCAGCCCAGAGTGACTGCACCACCGTCCACCAGCGAGCCTTTCCCTAGTCTGTTATTGACCGGGATTTATTCACACTCTGTTGATGGCAGAGATAAAAAAAAGCTCTCCAGTCGGCCCATGGCTCGTGCCTGATTCGATTAGCCTCCTCCTGCTAACTCAGTTGGAAGACTTTGTATGAAAAGCTGCCAGGTATGGGCCATCCACCACCGAGACTTCTTCACTCTTCTGAATGCCAGCCTGAATCCACACAGCCCTCCTTTCTCGATGGAGACAAAAGAGATGTTCTACACTGCGTGGCTCAGGCCTGATTCGAACAGGCTCCTCCTGCTTCAGCGTTCTACTGGACCAACACACAGAAAGCAAGTATGGACCATCCACCACTGAGCCTATCCTTTTCCGTAACTCCACCTCAATTTACCTCACACTTTTCTTTCAGGATTTCAAGCAGTAAATCCACTCAATGGCCCAGGCCTACAGGCTTCTCCTGGATGTAACATTTATTTTTGACAGACGATACACAGGTGTGAACTACCTACCACCGAGCCTTCCGTTGCCTGATCTTTCCCCCTATCTATCTTCGAGGCTTCAATGCCAGAGATAGAAAAGGTTCAATGTGAGACCGCATGACTCGGGCCTGATTCGAACAGGCTCCTCCTGCCTGAACTCTCTTTAATGCCCACAGAAAGCAAGCAACACGAGCGCGAAGAAAGCAAATCGGAGCTTTGCACGTAAAGTCAACCAACACCCGTTCCTAGTTTGACTTGGATGTACCAGGTCTTCTTCGATACTTATCGGTGCACCGGTGCAGGTTAAAGGAACACCCCTCTACATGCGGCGCGAGCCTTCTCGCGATCGGTTACCAGAGCCGGAAATTTCAAACAGCCGGCAGTTTCCGGCGGGGGATCCCGAAGTCATGTGCATCGTTGAACCTGTGGTTGAACTTCGTTCAATTCAGAACATGTATAGCGGTCGGAATCTCCCTCTGTAACTCAAAATGAGAGCGCACAAAATTTCTTGCTTGGTCTTACTTTCTGCTGCTGCCAACGTGGTCCATGGAGGGCAATTTTCAAAAGACAGATGGTTCACCGCCAGTAGGGAATAATGTGCCCAATAATCTTTCAACAAACGAGGAAAAATCGGTATGCAAGTGTAATCTACTTGTAATGTCCGGATATCTTTGGTCTAATCGTAGAATACCAACGCGCGAAGCTCAATGGACTCGCGGGGCGGGACTCCTTCCGGCGTGGCCAGGTCTTTGAACGCGGTGTGGGGAGTATAGAGCACGACACTCCCGTCCCGGAGGGAGTCAGCGCTGGGATAAATGAATTAGTTGTACACCCGGAATGTTGTTGAGAGAGCCACCAACCATTTGATCAGAATCAGCTCGTCCGGCGCGACTCCGGAGAAATAGGTCCATTTCTGGTTTGGGTTATATTTCACACCGGCCAATTCGCCTTCGCGATCCGGGAGAATCAGTGCAATAGGTTGGATGTCGCCTGCTGGGTCGACGGTCCTGAAATCGCACAACGCCAGTGGCCAGTCGTCCGCCGGGTGGGAAATCGGGCGCCACAAGTTGATGATTTGGAAGCGATGCTTCAGAAGCTCCGGAACCTCCTCGGCAGGGAGGTGGCGATGAACTCGGGCAACAGCGGATGTGTTTGTCTGGTCAACGTGCGTCTGTGGAACGAGCTGACATTTGTCCGGAGCATTGTCAATCTCGCCTGGCCGGCGGCGGCGAATGGCTGGACTCAAATCGATCAAGACAGCGGGCCAACTAATTGAAGGACGAACTGTGGTCAAATAAAACAACGCGACTCGCCCCCGTCAAGCGCTTTATGAGCTCAATGCTCTCAGGATAATACTCGATCTCGGCGTCACTCGTGAATGCAGTGTGCTTTGCAGGGTGTTTATATATCTGGAACCTGGTTGTGTCCAGCGTCGCAGCGGACTCGTTCCCTCGAAGATTTTGGATCTCGACGTCGTGGGCCTCCAAGGTAAAGTTTTGGTCCGGCACTCCAGCTACCGAGGTGGTGGTGTTCAGGTATGCACGAGTCCCATCCTTGGGAGGGACATAGAAATTGAGGGAGGCACTGGTGCTCGGTGGAATGACTGTGGACATGGTAGCTGAAGAATACGAACCCAGCCCGCCGTGGACTTCATGAGGCTTGGATAACACCAAGTTGATGGATCTTAGCGTGCTTCTTGCAGCTTACTCAGGGGATTACTCACCCAGTCACGCCACGCTATCCCTGGAACCAAGGCACGAAAGTTGAAGGAGGTTGTACGATAAAACATCTATCATTTTACTGCCACATAAATTTGAGCCTTTTAGGCTTGGGAGTTTGGCGTCAGCATTGGTGTGTGCTTGAAATATTGCCATGCTTACGATTTAAATGAGTCGAAAGGAAGGCCAGGCCTGCCCAGGTTGAATCTTGGCTGAGTCAATTTGTGATCCGAATCAATCACCGATCAACTTCAGGCGGAACCGCCCGCTTCGTGAGGTAGGCACCGTTACTTCCGGCAGTTTCCCAACTTATGCAGTGTCAGTCAAGAGCTGCACCCCAAGCCAGACCTGTAGAGGATACGGTAATTAGATGATGTCCTCAGTCGCACACAGTTGTGGGTAAGACTCAATATTAACCTGTAGAGGATACGGTAATTAGATAATGTCTACAGGTAGACATAAGTATAAGGTGAGGTAAAATATAAGTCAGGAACGTACCCTCAGTCGCACACAGTTGTGGGTAAGACTGAGGGTCGTCGCTGCGGAGCCGCACACTTTATAGTGTGCGGGTACGATCGAGGGTGAAACAAGTAAATAAAATAAAATAGTAACCTTCCCAACGTAGCGCTGAATGCCAAAGTCCACGAAAGGCAATGCCTCTTGTCGACACTCCCCCTGGCGGACAGCGTTCTTCCTCCTCCAATCTAGACCCGGCTGGGCGACGATCTTCTCGTGAGTGAGGCACGGCAAAGCCTCCGTCAGGATGTCAGTGATGTTCTCCTTCCCGGGCACCGATGACACCGTGATTTCGCCGTTCTGGACGCGCTCCCAGATGAAATGCCAACGTGTGTCAATATGTCTCGAAAGACCGTGCCCCTTGGTCGTCTCCGTGAGGCTGATAGACCCAAGGTTGTCGCCGCGAAGACCGAATGGAAGTTCCTGGGGAAGGAAGACCCCCGCAAGCCAGTTCTTCATCCATATAGACTGCTGGGATCCCCGTGCCAACAAGATGTATTTGTCTTCCGTTGACAACAGGGCCACGACTGCCTGTCGCTTAGCTGACCAGCAAACCGGCGCGCCTCCCATAAAGAAGACGTAACCCGAGGTCGAGCGACGCGTATCAATGCAGCCCGCCCAATCCGAGTCCACAAATCCCTTAGTCTCTCGTAGACAGACGCTCTATACGAACACTCGTACCTCGCTGTATAGAGTCTGTTAGTTACCGCGGGGTTGTGTATGAAGTGCTCTCTTATTACGTGATCTTACATAAGTTTTGCTAGGCCGTAGTTCGAACCCGGGCCAAACAGTTGTTTTTGTTTTTAAGTATTTTTTGCTCCGCAGCCTTCCGTACCTCAAATTCGTGTTCCCAGGCTGCATCGAGGCTCTGGGTCATTTCTGATTTTTTTCTAGCCCATTTCAAGGTCAACTCTAACCATTTGTTGTTTTTGGGCGAAGCAATTGCATACAAAAGTTGCGACCTTTACACCATAGGTTCAAGGGCTTGTTTTAACATTCTGAATTGACAGAAAGGTATTCATAGATAATAAAGCCCCATAAATCTTCAAGTCTCACTGAACATTACGTTTCCCGTGCAATGGGACGCGACTCGGAAAATGGTTACCTAAGATTATGTAATAACAGCGCACTACATACACAAGCCCGCGGTAAACACTAGACTACAAATCCCTCGGGTTTGAGACCTGTCCCCGCGATGCCCGAGTCCGAGGGTGGCGTGTATCGGATTCCGTAGTCTAGGGTCCCCTTGATGTAGCAAAGAACTCCGATAAGAATCTCCCAGTGCTCGGGAGCGGGGTTTGACTGGACGTGGCCGAGCGCGCAGCAGGCATAAGAAATGTCGGGTCGAGTGCCACTGCTCCCCCAGACTAACGTGCCGAGGATGGGTCGGAAGGGCTTGTCGAGCATGAAAGCGGCGTCTTCTGGAGATAGCGGTGATGAGGAGGCGTGGATCTAATAGCCGGCGGGGAAGGGCGTTGACAGCGGAGGAAGATCTGCGTAGCCGAAGTGGGCCAAGACCTTCTCGAAGTATTGGGTCTGGGAAAGTGAAATTAATCCGTCGCTTAACTTCTCGACGGTCAACCCCAACAACAATCTGACATCAATCTCCTTCAAGTCCCACTTCGCTGCAAACTCGTCCACGATGCACCGACTCTCCGCTTCTGACGACGACTCCCCGAGCACAACATCTGTGTGGGTGGAGGTAAGCGTGTATTTGTCTCCATGTTTGCGCGTCCTGATGCACGGGTCGGCAGGGTTCTTCTTGTAGCCCAAGCCGTGATATCCCTCTGCAAGGAGCTTGTACCAGATGTGGCTGGCTTGTACCAGCCCGTAGAGCGGTCGCAGGAGCAAGCATACTTTGTCTTCCACCCCCTGCTTTGCAAACCCAGTCGCCTGCTTCATGTACACCGGACGATCCATGGTGCCATTCAGGTACGCGCCCGAAAAGTCCCACTGCTGCACCACCAACTTCTGGACCACCACGACCGCAAAGACCATCCGCACCGACTCCATCTGTGCCACCATCGCCCATTTGACCTCAAAGTCCTTGCCTTCCACCATCTCGTCCCCGCGCGCCACGTATCTCCCCTTATGCGTCAAGATCTCCCCGTCGCCATCCACCTTCAGATCATACACCCACATCCCGTCAATCACTCTCTGCCCCTCTGGTAGGTCCACCAATTTCCATACCCCGCGGCTCTCGAGCTGATCAAATTCTGCCTGCATCGCAGGCCCCCACTTCTCTGGATCCCGCATGGCTTCGCGGTATGACCTGGGGATCACCCCCTTGACTGCACTCGCAAACGCCCAAGGGGATGACAACAATATGTTGTCGAAGCCCGCCCAGTCAATATCAACCGAGTTTGCTGCCGGGCAGGGCCCATCGTGTGCCCAGTCCTCACCCGCGAGGTGCGCTTGTTCTTCCTCGCGATGGAACATTTCCATCTCCAAGATGGCGCGCGTTGGCTTTGGTGCACGTCCTCTTCGACGAGGCGGGTCAGGGACGATGGGAGGAGGTGGAGGAGGCGGTGGAGGTGGCAGCGGCGGCAGTGCAGGTGTCCTGGTTGCGGTAGTGAGTCATCTTCGAACAGGGTTGCGTCCTGTGGTAACACATCATCTTCAGGGTCGACAATGCGCGTCCTATGTG